TTTTGTATATATAAGCCGGCAAATGAAATGACGGTATAGATAATAGCAGACAGGGAGATATAGAGACAAATAATCGAGTCAAGTCGTAAGTAAAGTGTGTGAATCGTTGTGAATTATAGCGTGTTTTATTTAGTTTTATTTAAGAAAGGACTTGTATATCTGAACTTCTTCGGAAATAATTTTTACGGGAAATTAACAAACGACCAGAGACGTAACAATATGTTATATGAAAATTGCACATACACAGTTAACTGATTAATTCCGAGAAAAATACTATATTGAACTAAGAAGGAAACAAAATAATACCACTGTATTATATCACAATTTGCTTTGGAGGGAGGGACAGAGAAATGATAGATTTTTTTTTATCTTGATGAATATAAGTATAGAACTTTCATTTCTACTTCTATCATAAAGAATTTCTTGCTTTGATCTTCATTGCCAGTGTCAACCTCTATGATCAATCGTGTAGATATAAAGACAATGGGCATGTATTAATTTTCTGCTGTAGTATATTGAGGTAAAACTAAGTTAAATTTAAAGCAATGTGATAGGTCTGCTTAATAACAGGAAGATCAACAAGATGTATATTAAGGAGTAGTGCTGAATCTCTGAGTAACTGAGTTTTTTGAGAATGAAATAAAGAGACTGGAAACAGTGTAAAATACAAGTCAAAAGCCTTTATTTATTTACAAACACAAACACTCTGTGCGTACTTGCTTTGTGAACACGGCATTCTACTGAATTAGGTATCTCCAATTTATCAGCCCAACATCATCTATCAGACTATTTAAATTCAATATTCATTACTTCACAGGTAACATCACATTTACCCAGAGTGACTATAGCACTACTCATGTGACTGTTCATTCCCACTGAAGCAGAGGAAAGGCTGTAACCTAGAGATACCACCTGCACTCTCATTACAGCATTACAGATATGACACTTTCATGTTAACTGATTTACCCAAAGAGTGTTAGGTAGGCCTGTTTTATAATGGGAGTATCAGAAGGATAAATTATATATTAAATCTGAAGTTAACTAAACTAACTGAGTTTAAGCAAAGAAATAAACAGGCATGATATGATGTGTTACACAAAATGAGAAAAATTAATCGCTGCATAATTTAATTGACAAACATAGTGTATATAATTGCTTTGTGGACATTGAATGGTCACTTGCTACTGAACTTGTGAATTGATCAACAGATTTGTTTCCTTCAAGGTGTCCTCCCGTTATTTGAGATCACGTGTAATAATGTTTAAAGCTAATGTTTCTTACTTAATGGAAGAATGTTGGATTTCTCCATAGTGACTATTGATATATTTACATCACTGGTCATTCTCATTCAACACAGGGGAGGCCCTATCTTCTAGATATCAACTGCTATCCAGTAAAGGCACTTCTGTTATTGACCTTTTGCACAATATGCAGTGTTACAACAATATGTCTCATAGTTGGAGCAAATATCATTTTCAGAGAACAAAAAACGAAACAAAGACAGCTAGAATAAAGTCAAATTAATGGATTTCTCAACCATGTTTTATGCAAAAACTACATAAATTCAGAATAAATGAAAAAGTTTGAAATTTTGTAGTTTAAAATAAGCAAGTAGAAAATACATGGTATGCTTGCATACTAATTTTTCTTGCTTCCTCTGTTTCAGGTTTGTTCCTAAGTATACAATGAAATTTAACTTTTCTTTCATCCCTGTAATTGTTTACATATAATTTAGGGGAAGGTGCTTTTGCTGCACTGTGTCTCTGAAAGTAGTTTTAGGACACAGCATTATTCTAACTGGACAATTATAGCATTTACAGGATACACACCTGACTAATTTCTGACCAATCGAATTTTATCTGTCTTTAAATTTTCAATCCTGAACTTTAGCTATGTGATATCAAATTCTTAACCCTTCTGGCTATTTTGCTTTTCTACTAACTAGTGATGTTTTCATTCTTCATCTGATTAAGATCCAAGGTTTTACTAGCTGCAATAGAAACCATTTACCCCCAAAACAAGTACATCAGGACTTCTTCTTTTATGAGGACACATATTTTGTGGTCAAACTTAAGAATCCCATAGTTGGTATAACTTTTGATCCAGTATAGCCTATGGATGAAGATGTGTTACTGGCTGATGCACTGAACATATTGGATCTCTCCAAGTTGATTGTTAGGTTTGCATTGAAAGCTTCCAGGGCTGGGTACTCCCCGTTGGCCAGCTAATTTCCAAGGAAAGCTAAGCCATCACTAGACATTCAGGCAGTATCAGAGCTACCTACAGTATTTACCCCACCAATCAAGCCAAACCTGAAGGTGGTTTAACTACAGTTGATGCCCTTAACTCCAATGTCAACTCTGCTGGAACATGAATTAGTATGGACATAATCTAAACACCTAGAGACAATCCTGAGGTGTCCAATTAGAGGGTGCTTTATCACCAAGCGCCTGAAGGAGAAAGACCAAAGTTTTTAGAAACATGTAGTATGCTCCAAGCCCATGGAAACCTTTCCATGGCTTAAGTCCTCTCAAAGACCACACCCACGATATCTAGTGCTCTGGGTTCCACAACCTCATCAGCTGTTGGAACCTTAATGTTTGTCACTTTCCCACCATCATTAGTGGCAAGTGAGTCTCTAGTCAACAAGGGGTCTCCATCCTGACAGCCAACCAAGTGCCATTGGTACCTAAAGTAACCACTGAGGTGAGAAGAGGTGCTTCCATCGCAATTGTGGTTGAGCCCCCACGACCTAAGAGGCCCCACAAACAACTTCAGTGGCAGCAAAGGATAGAACTACCAAAGACCACACTCAATCCTCATACTATCCATAACACCTTGCAACAGATGTATCTACTAAAGTAGCACCGCTAGAAGATAACTACGCAGTGGACAGAAGCCAGAGGTATGTGTAATCTAGAAAAGGACCAGCTTTACCGACGATAAATGTCATGTTATAATTCCTGGTCAGAAGAGAAGGTCTACTAGCTGTAGATAAAGTTGGCCCAGGCCTGCAAAACCTTTCGTGACACTACTGTGTCTATTGACGATCCATGACCACATTGAATGATCTGTTGTCAGGGGTCAGGTGAGGGTAAAGGGAGTTGATCCTTGTGCTTGCTGTTGAATTGCAGTGAATGTACAATTTGTATATTTCTTTCCAGTTCAAAGCTGATTGTAAATATTATAGATATATCTTCTTTTTCTGTCTTTTGTTTATTATTTATTGTGTTTTACAAATGTAAATGACCAACTGATATATATATATATATATATATAT